TCGCTTCCTTAACATTGCAGCTATCAGTCAGCCAATGTCCATGACACCACTAGCACAGGTCAAGTCTCATCTTGAGAGCAGCGCGCGCCACGCAATTGCGTTCTTTCTGACGCAAATCTCACGATTTATAGAGGCTTCATTGATGAAAATACTATCCTCACAATTGGGGATGTTAACGGCCTTCGTGTCTATTTCTCTCTTGTACGTTGTTTCTCTTTTTTGTTTGGTCTCGCTCTATTCTTTCCTGACGAATTACCTTTCGTTTAAAGGCTGTCCGATCAGGTCGTGAGGTTATTATTTTTCCCTCTATTAATCGATTTACCTTAGCAGTTCAGCCATGGCCCGTCCTCCTCAACTTGATAATCTTCTCAACATGGACAGTTGGCTGTACGATTGTCAGCATGAAATTTGCCGGCGGTATGGGGTTTTTCTGGAGTTCCAGAAGAGAATTGAGGAGGTCTGAACTTGACTATCTATTCAAATTTTCCTGAGTGGCTTAAACTCAATGCCATTTATCCTTTATTTACACAAGGATCTACGATCTCATTGGGTTTCTTCCAATTGGTTGGTTCTAGCTTATTACGACTATTAATTTCATGTAAGATCCCTCCAAACAGAGTCTCTCTGGGAAGGTTTTGATTCCTTGAACACTTTGATTTTTTTAGTGCGGAGGAATTGAGCGTTTCACCCAGGGCTACAAGGAGTTTGGTCTGCTGGTACAGCCGGACAATTCCGTTCTTTGCCAAGAATGGGCACCTGGAGCCGATCAGCTGGCTCTGATCGGCGATTTCAGTGAGTTGGAAAAGATGCTGTTTCTAGTTGCCTCTTTTATGAAATGGGATTTCAGCAGTCGATTGCTGACGATAGAGTATTAGTGGAAACTTCTTATTTTCACTTATTGTAAGTTAGGAGGACTTCGGAAACAAATTCACTTCAGTCCAGATTTCTCTCAATCACCCCGGAAATTCTCATTGAAGTATTATCTAGAGAAATAAGATAGCCAGACAAACGTAGAACTGCTCAGAAAGGGCTTCAAGTCCGAATCCTTGCCATATGTTTCAGTAGTTTCAAGCAAAGGGCTAGCCGTATTCGATCTAGTAAAGATGTAAGCATGGAACATAGGTAGACTTTTTGGTTATTATGAGCTCAAACAAGCTAGGAAGAGAGTGATGACTATGTAGTGCGCATACAAGTAGTATTGAAGGTGAAGTGAAAGTGAATGAAAGCTGAAAAGTGAATGAAAGCTGAAAACAAATTATTCCAGAAAAATATTGACTGTTGCGACGTTTTTAGCAGATCAATTTTGAATGATATAATATCCTCTAAAAAGTTTTTGACGCTTAAGACGGATGGAACCGTGAAACGCACAAGTATAACCGCGAAGAGTACGGTAAATGGCGACTCATCGTTCCTCCAAATCCTGATGGATCGTGTGCAATCCCCCATGGTTCGATCGTCAAAGTAGGTAGTTTTTCTGCTTCTTTCAAGTTTTCTTTCAAACGGTGCCCTTAACAGGGGTCAGCAGTCAGGGGGTGCAATCAGCTTTGTGTGATCCCCTTTTGAGAAAATCGCAAGAACCTCGATTCCCTTTCTGCAATGGGAACGATTTTCTATCTATGAGAATATGTTTCTTTCACTGAGCCATTAACCCTGTCGTCGCTGCGGAAGGGATAGTAAGCACAGCAATAAAGAGCCGTACGGAAAAGAGATGGCAAAACCACTGATAGGGTGCGACACATTACGGCGAACAGAGAGAAGATTTTTTAAGAAGGGTGGGGTACTGAAAAGGTATATAGTGAATAAATCCGTTCAAGGAATCCTTTTTAGTGCAGGCTTTTGATTTGTTTTCCGTGCCTTAGCGATATTCAAATCATATGTGATGACGGCTCCAACAGAACTTGTGGTGGCATAGTATCGAACTTTGATAATGAGAAAAACTGAATATCATTTGGAGCTAAGAAAAGTTTTCAGTGCGATTTTACCTTTGCCCAATATTGAAACAAGTCAATTGCAGATTGCTGTCACAAAAAATGGCCATACGGTGGACAAACTCAGTCCATGGGCGGCTTATGTAACCCGACCGAAGGAGACTACAGTTTATCACCAGGTAAGATGCTCCAACTAGACTATTCACTTTTGCATTGAGCAGTTACTAACCCTGTAGACCCCTCTAAAGAGTTCATTATGCTCTTGCTCTAGGCCTTTTTTGCTAGTTATTATTACACTTGTTCTTGGGTATGACTTCATGCACATCTAGTGCGATTGCACGTCAAGAGAGAGACGTGCGTGTACCGCTCGTGTCTCTTCATGGATTCCTTCCTTTCAAGTATATCACATTCGATTCTCTTAATTTACAGCAGTTCTACAATCCTCCAAACAAGTACAAGTTCATACATCCACGTCCAAAGCGGCCGGAATCGTTGCGCATCTATGAAGCCCACGTCGGTATCAGCAGCTGGGAGGGGAAAGTGAACACTTATCGAGCATTTGCCGACGATGTCCTTCCACGAATCGTCAGGCAAGGTCAGAAGAATTTCTTAAACAAGCTTCATCTACCTTTCAATCATATTTCCCCCAACAATTAGAGTTTACAAAGCATCACAGTGGTGTCGCTAAATATGGTCGTTGATGAAGCCTGAGTTCGATTTTATGCTTAGGTTACAACACCATTCAATTGATGGCTGTGATGGAGCACGTTTACTATGCATCCTTTGGTTATCAGGTCACGAGCTTCTTCGCCCCAGCCAGGTCAGCCTACTCAAGCATTTACATGCTAATAAATAAGTAAATAATCTTTTCAAACATACTCATCGAATCTGTTACAGCCGCTGTGGGCCGCCTGACGATGTCAAATACCTGGTTGATAAGGCACATTCAATGAATCTTACAATGCTTCTTGATGTGGTGCGTTTTGATTAAAACGAAGAACCTTAGATTACACTCGAAATTTTCTCCTGTCTCGGTTAGCTGAGAGCTGATCTCGCTATATTTGCCAGGGACTCAGTCACTACAGTTTACCGTTTTCTGCTCCTGATCCTTCTTTCCTGTGACTTTGTCATGCTCCTCTCATCCCATTTCAGTTCATAGTCTTAAATCTGTATGGGGAGAGACACCTTCTGAATCATAAGTTTTCTCAAAGGTATAAGGCAAGCCAGCGCGCAGGCATGAGATCTCTTTTACACCTCTTGCTACATCTTGAATGGGAATCGAGTGCCTGGTACAAGCTCAAGGGTTTTTTGGCAGCAAACTCTCTTCCTCTCTGTTCACACCTTCATACTCCTTTTTTTCGGAGGCGTTTTTTTCACATCTCTCTATTTACCATCAATTTACCGACTTAGGTTCATTCTCACGCATCGAAGAACGTGGCTGATGGCCTAAATCAGTGGGACGGTACGGATAGTTGTTACTTCCACAGCGGTCCCCGAGGAACACATACACTTTGGGATTCGAGATTGTTCGATTACACTCAGTAAGCCATGATTAATTTTT